AATAATTCAAACCGTATGTCACAGCACGGCACGATATTTTTGTATGCATGCATTTTTTATGACGTTTCAAATCTAATACTGTTTCCACTTCCATCAGGCCCCATATGAAACTGCGTATATTGAAGCACACTCGTAAATATCACTCTCGACTTGGGGGAAATGGATGTTTGTACTCGTCGTCGTCGTCGTCGTCGTCGGGCTGCAACAATTTTGAGTGGTTTTAAATCCTTTTTCTATCTTGTCCGTTTGTTTACAATATTAAATACGGGGACGAACGACGAACGTTCAATGACGTCTGACTTGCTGTATTTTTATGTGAGGGGGTAGACGACGGCGAAGAGGAAAATTATGAATCACATTACGTTGTCGGACATACATATATACGTTCTCATATACTGACTCAAACTTTAAAAGTCTGGCTAAAAAAATAGAGAGGAGGAGAGAAAGGAAATCCCATCGTTTAACTAGAAGTACGTATAATTCATCCGTTTTTTAGCCAGTCAGAACTACGAGTTGTAAAGTTAAGCTTGGTTTGATGGTTGGAGAAAGTAAAACGAAACGGGTGGATTACTGTCTTATTTCTGTGCACGTCGTAAAAAATCGAGGAGTGAAAGCTACTCATAATTCTGACCCTTCCACTTGTTCTTAAGTATTCTCTTGTTTTTTGGGCGCATAATGTTTGCAAATTGTGATTTTTAGTTGCCTCGTAAAAAACTAATCGTTGCATTTATGCCATGACTTCCTATTCCTGTAAGTAATGGGCCTTGACGTTGTAATAATTTATTTGGGAAACGTTAGATGAAGTGGAAGATTAGTGGGTTGAAATTTATACGAATTTTCCACTTTAACTAGGCCACGTCACGACGGGACAGAGCAGTATATCACATGACCTGGATAATAGATCTCAAGTCTTGTTCATAGAGATGGGAAAGCATTAGTTTTCGAGACGTGATGGTCATTAGGTCGCGAATAAAGCTAAAATTTGGTCCGTTTTATAATATTGCGACTCTGGCTGGTCGTCGTTTTCGTTGCAATTATTGTCATTGGATTACTTATTTCTTCCCCATCCGACTTCTTCTGCACCAAGTTGTAAGACAAGACGTTAATTAAATCCGAGACTCAGCTGGCATTCACATCCAGATAAAATTGAGCGCAGCGTCTTGTCGCTCTGCAGCCTGCTTATCCAATCCACGTGCAGCAGATAAGGCAGGTTTCACCCTACTTGAATAATAAGTCACTTTGTACACTCGGAGCTGCATCGTCTTTGAATATGTTAAGGAGGATGTCGATGCTCACCTGGCGGAAATATTGGCAGAGGAAACTTTGTTGTTTATATTTGTTTAGTATTGATAGAGAGAAGAAAGTGGATTAGGTTGTGGGGGAACATGTGAACGAGTAGTGGTCGTGGTCGTGGTGGTTGTGGTGGTAGAGCATTGGACGCAGAGTAGTTGTGGCTTAAGAGAGAGAGAGAAAGTGGAAGAGAAGATCAAAGAATTTGGTGACTCCTCTTTATTTACCAAGAGTCCAGACGAGAGAGACCTTGGCTGATCTGACTGAATGGGTTGGTCGTTGAGGACACAAATACAGGAAGGAGAGAGAGTGAGCGAGCAAGAGAGAAAGCTGGTAGGAATGAAGCGTTTAAATTAATATGATGAAATGAGGATGATGATATTTCCGTGGTCCAAATATCCAACACGATGGGAACGCATCTCTGTCGGATGGATCCGTGCTGCATACTGTTCCGGATCACTTTTACCTCGCTGCACTCTACTCACTACTAAATTTAAGTCGTTAAGAGGAAGGATTCCTCTCCCATGTTTACCTGAATTTTGCTCATTTCCCAGCCTGTCCGGTATAGGCGTCATGTTGGAGGAGAAAGCGAGGTAGCTGTGTTGATGTAAATGTCTTCCTCCTCGCCCTTGGTTGAGATTCTCGGTGAGCTACAGGTCGTAAAGTGTACGAGTCCTGAGGCCATGTACATATGTATGTACATAGTACAGCACTACTGCCAGCACTCCTGTTACGCGATCCTTGCCATGATGATTCTGATGTGGAACGTCCTCCATCTCTCGCTCTCTCTGAATTCTGGTGCGTACTCTGATTGAAGTTGTGTGAGTAATAAAGACGACGAGTTGCATTATTAACAGCACCATCAGAGAGACTGGCGTGTCGGATACGGGTCTAGTTGACTACTTCATTATACTCTTCACTCAGGAGTAGTGGCTCATTTTTATGCACGCATCGAGAGAATTCCATCATCAAATCCTACTTTCCGGGTAGTTGTCTCTTCACAAAAGTTTCAACATCAATACAGGAGTCACATGTCGATGATAAATTTCCTGGAATTTGGAGCGTGGAATGGGAGGCAATATCCTGATTCTTCTCTCTCCACTCTAAATTCCACCACCCACCACGACAGTATCCACCGAAAGGGAAAAGGACTACTCCTCAAAGCTGCCAGGCCATGGATCACATCACATGCCAAGTAATGAATCGACGCAATATAACCACAACCACTCGTCTTATCTCGTCCTCTCGCATTTCTCTCTCCTCAACATCGCCTTCCAACTCTCCTCCTGCCATGCTGATGCTGCTGCTGCTGCGAGAAACCTCAATGGAAATATTTTCCAGCCAGGCACAGCCAACTAAATAACCAACCAACCACCACCCCCGGTTCCAAACTCATCAACAATCCTTCTACAACCCTTATACCACGACATCATCACCATTACGGACACGAAATCCAATCGTACTTTCACCCACCGTTTCTTCTCCTCCTCGATCCCCCGTACGGCCTAATGGTTCTGCATATTCCTCCAAAATCCAAAGCACCATTGTCACTGCTACTTATTCCATATTTTGACATCGGCACAAGATCCAATATCAAATTTCGCTTTAACCCTGAAACGGATGGCGTCAATATTTATAATTATTCGAGTCTTCTTTAATTCAAATGCATGTGTAGGCGTCCTGTTTTGCTCGTGCTCATCCCAATTCCTTTACCCACCCACGCACCACATTTCAAATTTTGGGAAATAAAAGTGACTAAATTTCCTACTTCTACTACTACTACCAGTCATGCCTACCACCACCACCACTAACTAACTAACTAGCACACTGGAAGGCAGTGATTTGGTCTGTTTGAGTAAGATTATTCAGAGTGGAATAATTTTTGGAGACAGTCGTCAGCCAAGGAACTTTCTCTTCCTGCAAACTGCGAAAAGCGCAACTTTCTATCTTTCTTTTGGGCAACAGGTGCGGAATAATATTTCCCGAGAAATTGATTCCACGTCCAAGAATCTTTGTCAGGATGACAGCCGAATCTGGACAACTTTTCAAGCCTGCTACTGCTCCTCTCCTGCTGCTGTCCAAGACAAGGCGAACTGACAGAGTGTGGTGTTCCTTACTCTGATAATACGTGCTGATGACACTTCTTCCTATTATACGCTCGCCATAATTTCATGTCATGGAAACGCCTTTATACAAGTTTGCCCATTGTTTCGTACGCATTGTGATATTTATTGTCATCTTGATACGGATGGGGACGGGAATGATGAAGATCTCGTAAGATCTCAAATGCGCACTCAGAAATCAAAGAGTGAAATAAAAACAAGATGAATCAATACATTTATCTAATTGCACGTGCACCACGGTTTCGTGAGTGAGTGAGTGAGTGGGCCTTTATTTTTGTGAGGTTCTTTTTATTAGCTTTGTTCTCCTCTCTCTCGCCCTTTCAAGATTTGAAAGTAGTGTTGTCAATTGAATTATACGCTCGCTCACTCACTCGCTCTCCTCTCACTTCACAACATATGCATGGTATCGGAAACACACAATTTGATTAGTGGCTACTTACTACTCGGGGCGGCCAGCATTATTGTTGTCCTTTGTGTCACTTCCCAGCCATATAAGTGTGTATGGAAGGCTTCAATTAGTTTCTCCATAATTTTATGATTTCTCATAAGTGCATTAGTGCTGACTGAAAGATTTTATCGCTACCCATGTACGTGCAAAAGACCGAGTGTGGTGGAAGGACTCGACCTCCTCCTCCTCCTTTCTGCCCACACTTGATGACCTTCAACCTGACTCGTGGTTGCGACTCGCCTGTTGATTCGCTAGAGGAGAAAGTGTGTTGGCTGTAGTGGGACGACGATTAATAAGCTGAATAGTGAATTACGTCTGCTGAGTGACTCACCTTTCACCACGAAGTCAACTCCTCTGTCAAAATGGGGACGAATAAATATGTAACGCAGAAGGAAATGTTGATTGTTGAGCGACTCACCTTCTTCTTTGGTCAGTATTTAGTTGAACTATTATCAAACTTATCGCCTAAATAAGTTTTGTGCCCAGCAACACAATGAGCTTTCCCTTTGGACGGCTAATTTTGGCGAAAAGTAAGTGTGCGATAAGACGGTCAGAAATTGGCGTGTTGCTAACTTTGTGTGAATATATTTCCGTGAAGCTGTCAACGTGTTTTGTGACGACGTCTCTTATCAGGTTGGATAGGATCAGTGTAAATTAGGAGAGAGAAAGCTGTCAATTACTCCGTAGGCAGCAACCACCATTTGAAGACGTGGTGGTTGTAAACGAGTGAGTGAGAGAAAGCGAGGGTGGTGTTTTGGTTTGATGTTTGATGACAAAGGAGCTGGTGGGCTAATGGAATAGTGAGAGAAGGAGTGAGAGCGATAAAAATAGATGGGGAGCAAATAAGGTGGTACATGATAGAGCAAGATGCGGTTTGAGGATGCCACGGTACCCGGCACGACATCAAAAAGTCGTCTTTAGGAAATAAAGTCGTCCTCCTCGTCGTCGTCGTCGTGTCGCAGGCAAATCTTGTCATCCTCGCTTTCCATATGTAAATACAGGCTGCATGCTCTTCTTTTCGAGAACGTTTGATATCCCCGTGGCGGCGTTAGTTGGGATCACTGACTGCGAGGGGTGCATGGCGTAGAAATTTCAGTAAAGAAAGCAAATCAATAATTTTTCTCTCCTTTCTTTTGTAGAATTTACAAAGTCTGCCCTCCAGTCGTGTGGTAAGTGGTCTGGCTGCTGACTCCAACTGACTGACTGACTCCTGCCTCCTTTCTCCTCTTCTTCTCGCGGAAGCGCTGGCAGATTGTGGAAAAACGAAGCCTTCCACTCCAGAAAGTTGTGAACAAAGGAGGATCGACGGACTCGACATCACCGTACACACCACGACGACGACGCCTGCCGCCGTGCATATGTACACACCACGAGCAACAACGCACCAAAAACTGTAGACACCACCGAGCAAGTTTACGTGCGCTTTATCTCCTACACATCCGTAAGAATTCTGCTGTCCCACTCGCACTGGAAGTGACGACGACTCGAAGAAAGCAGCATCAATCAAAAGCAACCCCCCAAATTCAGATATATTTGTTTGTTTGTCAGCATCACCACCACCACCAGGTTTTTTTTCATACAACCAACAATAAACACATGCCACACACGTTCACCGTCCTCTGGGTCCAGTATCAATCCATACACACACAAAGTCAGCCCCAGCCAACCAATAAATGCTGGCAGGAAGACGTATCCCACATACTTTCTCGGCAGGATTACCCGAAACGTGTACTCATCCATTGCTTCGATTTGCCCTCGCAGTAAACAATCGAGAGAATACAATTGCATGTCTTTTTCGCATTCCATCCCTTTTCTTATCCTCGTTCGAGAGTGCATGAGTTTCCAGCGTGACATATTCTGTCGACGACGCTAACTTATTCCCACTGCTTTTTGGTGCAGCAGCGTAGTCTGCCGTGCGGAGAAAACGGTGGTCATTTTACTTTCCCCATTAAGCCTCAAGTCCCCCGAGATGTGGCCGCCTCCCTCCTTCCGCCACGACCAGTAATGATAATAGATATCGTTCAGGTGCTCTCACGACGAACCGTATCCTGCACCATCACCACTCGGCCACCAACTTTCTCATCCCCGGCCGTCTCCACCTAACTTCATCTCCTTCGTCTCTGCATATCAAGTACAAGGACCTTTTCTCAATCTAATTTCCATAAATTGGGCTGCCCAACTAATTGATCACGGTCCTTGAACTAATAACTCGATTGTGCAAGAACAATAATAATAATGATGCAAAAAGTACAGTAGCAGATTGACAAACGAACTTGTCATCGTAGAACAAACAGCAGTTCTTCTTTATTATTAAGGAATAAGTAACGTTGTTCCTTATAATTCAGTCCCAATTGTCTCCCATCCAACAAACCTGGTGGGTCGTTATATTATTATTGGGGAATTGAAATTGCTGACGGGGGAGTATTTCTCCTCCTCCTCCACCCACACGAGGACTGTAATTTACTCACAATTTGTAGACTTGAGCAAGCGAAATTAAAGAAAATGCAATTCTTTCCCATTTCTCTGATTGCCTAGAAGGACAGAAATATCTCTTGATAATGGTTCCACCGAGTAAGAAATTATTTTGAAAGAAGGGAAAATTAGTGTTTGCCTAGAAAATAAAAGCAACATGGCGTCTAGAAGGGTGTCAATATCAATTTTTTCCAACCATCACACCACCAACACGTCTCCCACTTTCACCGGGAAGGGGACACCGTCGTCGTTGAGTATTTAGTGGATCCATCCTACTCCTCAGTCAGCCAGTCAGACACAAACGGGACACCGTATTCAGTGACACGAACTCGACAAAAGCAGAGCTAATACCTGAATGTGTGTCGAGTTTTCTTCTTTGAAAGGTAATAACGAACGCAATACGGGAGAAGAGTCGACGACAACTTGATTCGTGAGCCAGCACATCATCCTCGTCATGATCACCATCAAAAGCAAAGCGCAGAAAAGATAGAGCGTCCTTCAACCTTCAATCTGCAAACATCGCAACGGAGCTTATCTTTCTCTTTGGCATCTCTTCCACCTCATCGAATACTACTCACTCGTGTGTCTGTGTGTGTGTGCATGTGGAGAGGGAGCAGTGAATAACACATCATATAAATAGTTTGGTGTCTGTCGAGATCAGGTCAACTGTTCACTCGGCTCGAAATTACTCTCAGAATAGAAAACCTTCCTTCCATGAACGATGATCAAGTGTGTTGGGAGGCGAAAATGCGATTGTTTTGATGTTATTTCGAACCTCATGAGATTTCTGAGAGACTGACCTACATATAATCCAACTCACTTCTTTTCCCCTCTCTAGCAAATAAACGGGGAAAGAAAGAAATAGAACGGGGAAAATACTTCTCCAACTCTTTCCCTCTTGAACACGCAGTTGGAAGAAATAATAATAATAATAATACTAATAATAACAATAATAATAATGAAAATAATGAACTGGAGCGCGTCGAATGACATTTAACTATTGGGATCCGCATATTCCGCGATCCTCTAGTTTTCCTACTTTGTATGACTGATTCTTGTTGTGGTTGTGAGTTGCGGCTGGGCGTGTGTGCGAGTGACACGTCTCGCCATATCCATAATAGTTGGAAGTAATTGCCCCCGGTTTCATCAAGAACACAGCTCCGTTACAACCACTGTGCAGTGATCTGTCACTTTCTCCCACTAATTAAGTGGGGAGCTGCGTATAAACTTTGGGTGACCACAAATGGACACCTTTCAAATCCTAACGCGACTTCCTAGGAACAGCTTGTGCACGTAGGAAGGAGAGAAAGACCGAGGTGGTGGGAAGGCAGCACGATTGAAAGAAAACTGTAGAGTAAATAAGTCCTTTTGGTGGTTCATGGTTCGTTGAATGTTACGACAACGACACTCTCTCCAGCCAGCGTGTCGTGGGTCCTGGATCAGGTATCGTACGTGTGTTTCTCTGTGTGTACCGTCTCATCAAGAAGAGGCCGACTTTACCACCAACCTGCAACAGCTTCTTATTAGTTACAGTCTGTAAGACGCGAAAACTAATATAACTTCATAAGCCTAACTGCGTGTTTACACTCTATTACACTTTTGTTGGTGTGCAAGTCGCGTTAAAAAATAGTTTGAATGGAACAAGCCGCCGCACACTTTGGGGACATGGAGTCCTCGTACAGAAACGGGGTTCACATTCCTTCCTACTACGACCCCGAGTTCGGTCTTCACGGTGAGATGAACGAGTCCGACTCGCTGTTCCCTAACCTGAACGATACGGTCAAAGTGGTGGCGAACGTTACTCGGTACATGAGCAGTTTGGGGGTGTGGCTGGCAATTCCGGAGTGGGAGGTGAGTCTTGTATTCTAATACCAATATTATTATATTGTAGAGTATTATCTTTAATGTCCAACTTTCACCGCGAGCAGAGTACTTATCTTATGTAACGGAATTTTAGTAAAATGTGTTTTGTTGTTGTTGTTACTTTTGTACTAAAAAGGCTGCCGTTACTGCTATCACACTCTCCCTCATCATCGTGCTCACCGTGGTGGGCAACATTCTCGTCATTCTCTCCGTGTTCACCTATCGACCCCTTCGATCAGCCCCAAACTTTTTCATCGTATCTCTGGCCGTGGCGGATTTGACGGTTGCTGTCCTAGTCCTCCCGTTAAACGTGGCCTACACCATTTTGGGAAGATGGGTCCTGGGGAAACTCATTTGCGAGTTTTGGGTCACCTCGGATGTGCTCTGTTGCACGGGTAAGCTCCGCCTGATTCTTGGCCAGACGAGGAGGATCATAACATTTTGTGACGATGGTGAAAGTTAGACTTGACTTAATTCGAGTTTCCGTTAACAGCTAGTATCCTGCACTTGTGTGCCATTGCGCTGGACAGATACCGAGCCATCACCGACCCCGTCAACTATGCGAGGAAACGTACCCTTCACCGCGTCCTCATCACCATTGCGGTCGTGTGGATCATGTCGTTCATCATTTCGTCACCCCCACTCCTGGGTTGGAACGACTGGCCGGCCAACTTTGATGAGAACACGCCCTGCATCCTCACCCGACAACGGGGCTACGTCGTCTACTCGGCATTGGGCTCATTCTTTATCCCACTTCTACTCATGACGGCTGTGTACATTCGAATATTTATCGCGACGAGGCGACGACTCCGCCAGCGAGCGAGGGCCTCTCGCCTCTCCGCCATGGCGAAAAAGAGCACCGACTGTGGTGGGAAAAAGAATGATGGGGATCGTGATAGGAGCTCAATCAGTTCGATAGAGAATAATGGAAATGACGGCTCAGGGGATCACTGTCTCCAGAAGAGCAACGACAGTATAAATCAACAAAAACAGAGGAACAGATCCGCCAAGCATGGGAATAAGGGAAATCACGCCGCTACCACCGCCATCATCGCGGGTGGAGGAGTTTCACCAGCCGTTGGAGGAGAAGTAGTGGAGCCGGCCAACAAGAGTAGCAATTCGAACGCTTCCTCCGAGGGGATTCTCAGTGTGAGGATTCAAGGTCAGTTGAATGCTGATGAGGCTGGGCCGGATGGAACCAAGCTCTCCCCTGCCAACTTGAGTGAGGAGTCTGTCACAGATGCTGAAATTCCTCTCCACCAACACCGCCCCCACAGCCACTCAGTTCGAGGTGAGGGGGGTCATGGCAAATCGTCTCATTCCAGTCGGGGGAGTAAGAAGCCTGGGAGACAAACTTCTCAGCAGGTTAGCCAATTTGTCGAGGAAAAACAGAGAATTTCGTTATCCAAGGAGAGGAAGGCGGCCAGGACGTTGGGCATTGTGAGTTTAAACCAATTCTCTATCCTGTTACTTCGGCAGTGTGATGCGATTGAGGGACTTACTGACTCTCGATTCGATTTTTTTTTCTTCGACCCACAGATCATGGGAGTCTTTGTCGTGTGCTGGCTGCCCTTTTTCCTAATGGTAATTGTTTGTAACAGACATAATGTCCATATTTTTTGTACAAAAAACCATAAAAACGTGCTCCATTCTTATCTTCCCCCTCGTGCAGTATGTCATTGTCCCATTCTGCTCGAGCTGTGAGCCTGGCGAAAAACTGGTCAATGCCATCACCTGGCTTGGATACGTCAACTCTTCTCTCAACCCCATAATTTACACGATTTTCAATATGGACTTTCGAAAAGCATTCAAAAAGCTCCTTCATTTGGGAAAGTAACACACCTACCCAGCCACCCGTCCTTTCTACTCTAAAAACGTAAGTGCTCCATACATCTTTTTCCAATGGCCGCTTATTCACTCGTCCATTGCGACAGTCTCCCCCACTTTCGTACAGTGCATATTATATACATTTCTCGCTCCGTCTTTCATATTCACTGCCACTCAGTCAGGAGTGAAGGAATATCCATTCGAACTTACGTACGTACATGCAGGGAAAGTCTCCACCAGCCCAAAAACTATGCCCTCCAGCCATTTATTATAAGTGAAATGAATTAACCAACTCACTTTTCGACGGAGATGGGAAATGACAAGGAAAAATATCTCTGCAAACAAAAAAGGCTTCATTATTTGCATAGAGCTGGGCATATTTTTCACAACGGAATATTCCTGTCTAGCTTTTTAGAGAGAAAAAATGCACAGAAACTTATGTCTGGCTCATATTTATTGCATATGGTGATGGTGCGCACGAAACAAGTAAGTATTGCCATGCTCAGCACTATCATTCGGACGGAAGAGATCAAACAAGTTAAATAGGACGGGATTTATGCATATGGAAGTCTTTGTGTAGATACGAGTAAACCTTGGCGTGGGGATTCGATTCGATTGCTAAAGCATGATTAGCTCATTCTGTTGACATAGCTTTTTGTGGTATTTTTGGTTTGCAAATACGAATTTGCTCATGAATGGATGCGTACGTATGGATGGATGTGTGTACGTTTGTGTGTGTGGATTTGTGGCTTAGCGGATTCCATAGATCGGGAGGAGGATGTGTGCATCAAAGTGGCAGTAATGAGCAAATCTGAATTTTTTGACCTGTTATATGGTTTTGAAGGTTGAGGAAAGCATTCAAGGCGACGACGAAACGACGACATTGAAGAGATTCACTTGTGCTTGAGCGAGTTTGGGTGTGTTGCAAGAAGACGGAACAGGATTAAATAATTCAGGCATGTCTACTCACAGCACTAAATGTGCACATTTCGTGGGGAAAATTAAATGATTCGCCTGACTTGGTCGGTGTCTCTTCTTGTTTTATGAATAGAGGAATTGCACACTTTGGGGATGTAGTGTACTTCCATACTTATCGCTGGAAACTGTGCACTCGGCGTCTTTTCTGCTTTCTCTGAGGAATGTCGATGTAGTGGATGCTGCTGTTTTTCCAACTTGCTTGATCGACTTTTTGTTTCTTGGTCGTCTTCCTCCCGCTACTACTAAATGGTATTTTTGGCAGTGATAGGAATAGCAAAGCCCTGTTGTGAGCCAGCCAGCGAGTGAGTGAGTGAGTGAAAGAACAAACTGTATTTTGGCATCCGACCTATAAAATTACTTTACTTTGTCGTGATTAATGCAAATTACGAGTGAGGATGAAACTTGCGACTCTTGCCGACTTGTTCCGCACTCTTCTTACTTAATATTATATAACGAGTTTGAAACTCTGCTCAAATATCGATTTGATCATTATCATTCCTTAGCTTCCCTTAATTTTATTTCATTGTCCTGTTGCCACTCTAATTGAACCATCACTCACAACATCTTGCATAACGTGCAGGTCCTTCGGCACTAACATCTTTTAACAATAACAAATTTCCGTACGCTGGCTGATTCTCGCTTCATTTATTGTAAATCTATATCACATTCTTCGACCCGTCGTTCCATGGTTTCATAACTTTCAAAAGTTATGCAAAGTCTCTTTCCAACCGTAATCCGGGACTAAGTTTAGCCGCTTTTGTACCTATTTATGCAGATATTCCAGCCATTTATGTATTCCACGTCATGGAAGGACGTAATGCTTCGCTAATTCTGTCATTGTTTTTGAGCTTCGTAATTTAAAAGTTAATTAATCACTCAGTGATTAATTCGATTTCAGTTAATTAGTTAATTTTTAGTTAATTATCAATTCGGTGCTGCTTGTAAGGTTGACATAATTATTCGAAGGATTTTCACGGTCTTCTAAATAGTGTGCAGATGTTATATAAGTAATTAAATGTCGATTTAAACTCTATTTTTAAATTCTATTTTTAAATTCGAGTCGTGCTCTGGGTACGATTTACAAAAAATAATAATAAGAGTGACTTTTCTAATGATGAGGATCTCTGTTATTCGTCCAAATTTGTATTCTGCAGCGTGTGTGACATAATACCCCAATTGGCAATTACGCTTGTTCAAGTGGTTGCATAATATCTCGAGTACATAATAGCGTACAAGCATGGCATGCATGCACATATGAAATTTCAGCTTTCTAAAGCATGGATCCCAAAGATACACATTGCTTATTCATTACATTCGTAATTTGGCAATTGAAATTTACTTGTGTTACTCTTGTATGTATTATCGTCGGGGGAGCTTGTAGTGATTTATTTGACCATAAAACTCTGCACGTTCTGATATATTGCCGGACCGTTTTTGAACTATGAAGTATAGCAAAACTTGAAAAGTACAGGAATGCGAAGATTAGGCGGTGCTTGACAACGGCATCATAGAAATAGTGAGCAGCCACTACACCAACTTTTTCTAAAGCTATAATAAACTTACATAAAATCTAAAATTTTTATATCCCCGTTCAACGAAATATTTACCAAGGCCCGAGTTGGACTTTATTTAAGTCCAAATGCTATCAAAAATGGCATTTGGATGGAAATACTTATGAATGACGGAGCTGGTCAAAGGGGAGCAGGAATCAGGAATGGTGAATCATTTATAGAGCGGAAAAGAAATTCCTGCCGAAATCTCACGTGAAATGATGGAGTTTCCTTGTACATAGAATTAATTTTATCGGATTGAGGAAAGGGAAGAAGACTGGTGGACTTGAGATCCGTGGTGACCGTGGTCTTTGACTAATCAGCTTAGACATGTTCTCTATCCTTAATAAGGGACAAATTGCATAAATGTGGTTTATTGCGACTCTACTTGTTTGTACACTGTTGTTGACTGTTTATCCCACTTTCATCAGCTACACCTACGGAATTATTTTCACTTAGTAATCACCCCAAGCATACTCGAGTCAATTTGCATGATTAGCATGGTCTCGACCCACTGCTACATATATCACACTATAACTTATGAACTACTCCACTTATGTATGGACACTCCTTACATGCGTGCATATGAAGCTTGGACTTTCGCCTATAAATTTTTGCTAAGGGTATGACTGACTACATGCTTCAGTAGCCGTTGTGCTTGTGGCAGTTGTATCAGTTCGTTTCGTTCACACTCATTCGTTCGTAAATAATTTCACTTATTGAAATCCACCAGCATATCAGAAGGACGACGGCGACGGGTATCTGTACAATTCTGGTTGCATGTTGACGGTTGTTATTTTCGATCTCGCTCTCTGCGTTCGTGATTTGATCGTGGATTCTCATGCAGGCGTCGTTGTTGGACGAATTGTTCAGTCAGTCATCACGGAACAATTGTCGAATCGATTACTTCCTTTTCTCTGATCTTGTTTTCGAATTGGATGTAATTAAGATAATGCGTTTAAATGCCAGGCCACAGTTTGGCGAGGCAGTAATTGTTTTTCTCTCTCCGGTTTCAAGGTGACATGAACATATGTCGCCATCAAATGTTCACGTACAAATAAATAAGCATGAACCTTGCTCACTTGGGTGCATGTATGAGTGAACTAATTCGAGTGAAAGTCTCAAAATGTATTTCAACTCATGATCCTCTTTTATTTGTTTCCTTCAACAGGTAACCTGTGGACTCGTCGTCAATGGTACTTTAGAGCGACTACTTTACCCTTAATTTTAAAGCCGCTGTCGTCGTCATCATTTACTAAAATACTTAATGTGGTACTTGCATGATGCACAGAAGGCTGAACATTGCCGCCATTTTGGAACAGTCTTACTGGTGATAACGACGTGTATAATACTCAATTTGGCTCAACTTGATCAAATTTAATTTTATAATCGTCGTAACTCGGCTGATGACTATTTCCAGCCCTTCACTTTTTATTACTGTGTAGCCTTGTTTTAATCTCATGAAGCTTTTAAAGTTAAGAAAAACTAGGGCTTTTTGTGTTAAGTAGTTTTCTCGACTTGAAGAAACGATGATGGTTTCATCACTTAACTTGTTGCGAGATGAAGCAGAAGAAAAGGTATCAATAAGTTGCCTCATCTTTTAAGTACGTACACATACATAAGAGAACCCAATTCAGACGAAAGTTTACAACACGAAGAGCTTTTATCCATTTTCCACTCGAACTCTGTTGTTGTTTTTAGTACTTTTCTGCCCATACGTGAAAGTGAGACGGGTTATGTAAGGGGAAAGTAATGGGGGAAAGAGAAACGTCATCATTGGTGCAGTGGTGTGGATAGGTCATCATTTTATTGTCTATTCGGCGGATATCTCCCATGCACTCAGCACCTCTGTTACCGCACACCCACTCACCCAACACACCACACCACCACCACCACCACCATAATAGCTGGCCGGAAGGGTGTCCTGACACTGGAACGGCTTTCGGATGATAAATATCCAAAAGTGGGACGCTGGCTCCTTCAAACAAAAGAAAATGACATGGATTGAGTATTTAGATAGAGAAAGGTTGACACGAAATTCAAGTCATCTTGCTCCGGCAACCGTGAATTTAGATGAATGGCCAAAATGAGTTGCCAGGACCTCTGGAAACTAAGTGCTCCGAAATCCTGGAAAGACAGCGACCGAGTTAAAATGAAAATTGAGAATAACCAGCATTGACTCGCGTATACGTAACTGACTGAAGTAAAAAAAAAGAAGAAGTCAACATTTTTCCCTGAACTCAAATTCGATATCTTTAATACATATTTACATAAGTCTACGATTATAGTACGCACTTATTACATATGCAGATATACTATTATACAAGATATACATACCTATTGTTACACATACAAATATATATATTTACTATTTACCTGTGCAATCTTATTGCTTTATGTTAATTCTAAGGCTATCCAACCAACTCCGAGTTGGAATGTTTGCTCGCTCTCCAACTTTTTTATTTGTTTCTTGTTCCTCCATCCATGCCCACGTTCACTTGGATATATAAAAAAAGAAGCTTTAATCCAAATTCTGAGAAGGCAGACACCAGTCGGACCTCAATGATGGAAGTGGTTGGTTATCATGAGGTGTATTGAATCGGAAGGCAGTCGACATCGCAACTGGTGGATGGAAGGAGAGAGAGCGACCTTTTTTCTGGAAATTTATATACTTACTTGGTGCTGAAGAAAAGAATGTGAATGCCAAAAAAACTGTTGGAGCAAAAGATTAAATTTAACAAGAAATATATAGAATGTTGCTCCGAAATGATATGGCAATTCCTTCACTTATACGAGTACATTGATACCTAAAAATATATTGTGTTACATGATGGTGCTATACACTTGCTTATTGTATGGCGTACTAATATCGTTCACTTTTACTTCAATACTTGACAGTCTTCACAAAAGTGCAATCTGAAGCCAAAGCATTTAGATTTCGGTACTACATATATATATACTTCATACATATTACCTGATAAGTAAGCTTGATAAAATGTAAAGGATTTCTTCCAATTATTACTAACTAACTAACTAATCTATGTATGCATACTGTAACAAATGGAGAATGGAATGAAATTAAACTACCACAATCATTTATTATAATTATTCCTAAATATGTATTAGGATATGATCAAGACGGAAGCATGCACCACGGGGGGTGATCATATGTATGGAGGTGAACTGCAAGGCGTGCGATATACGTAGAGATATATGTATGTGAGTGTACTTTCATATGTACGTACGCCTTTCGTGGGGAAAGTGAAAAGCTGCAATTCTACTAAACGGAGGAGGAGGAAACGAAGTCTAGTGTCCAGTGAGTAATTAATTAGAATGTGCACCTAATGAACAACAATTAGCCTGCTCCAATTATGTATGTGCAGCAAGGAGGATGTGAATATGTATTAAAATAAATGGTGTTCTAAGCCAACTCAACAGCTACATGGTTTACAGGCATGTTATTACTTATTCTCTCTCTGCATCGGTTTTCACTACTCGCATACATACACAGCATATTGTCCTTACTTATTCCAAGTCGAAACCACATCACGGAGAGAATAATGCAAATCATGGTTTCATTGCTGCAACATTTAATCACCTGCACCGTGTCGTTATAATTAACACACTCACTTCCTAAGAATTGACCTGTCACCTGGTCTGCTTAACGAGATGGCCCGTGTGGAGGAGTCGCATCAACTGTTCTGGATTCTGGGTGTGATTTGAAATGAAATGGAATGATAGAGGAAGTGAGAGACGGAAATGGGAAATAAATTCCTGACATGCTACCCAGGAAAGCCACACCGCAGGACCAATGCGGAATTTGAGGTCTTCAGCCAAAGGATGAAAATGCATACGAATTCTGCCTGAGTCGTGGGATGATTGACTTGGTTGGTGGGAAAAGTAGGAAATTTATAACGTTGATGGCCATATGTCAATCCAACCATTGAGTGAGTGAGGGTCAGATTGGTTCACTTCACTCCATGCTGTGACACTTTCTCCCACTTTCATCTCCCTTCACCTTCGTCTACATACCAACCAACCAAGTACTATACTTACTCACCCACTAACTGAGCACATGACAAACACACGACTTGTGCAGATCTCCCCGCTTCGTCTTGTAATTGAATTCCTATGCCAGAATCAGACTCGGCCGTATGCAGGTGGATATGCATAATCGCGTGTGGTCTGGCTGATAATACTTACATATTCACTTTCTCTCCCCCTTCCAAAGGAAACTTGGCTAATAATTCAACTCCCACTCGCCCATTTTCTCAGAATCTTGGGATAAATAAACATGAAAACAAATGCATAGAAATAAAATGAATGTTGTTTCACAAACAAACAGCTCTCCTTGTTTTGATCACTTTTATGACTCGAACAAACAACACGATCTGTGTAAGAGTCAAAGGAAATAAAAATAAAAGACGAATAGTTACATGTTGGGCTTGTGTAACGTGTCCCAGTTCGACAAACTTGGCAGGTGTACACAGAAATAAATTTCCAAGCAATTCTAGATGAAACCCTGCAGGGGCGAAACTCGCGTAGATGCAAAATGCAATGCAACAAGGTGGTCAGGAGGAAGAGAGAGAAACGTTCTATACTTCAAGGTAAGGTTATGATCGGGTCATGGTCGTCGTCGCTAAAGGGATCAATCAATGATATACACTTTTGTGTGGGTTTTCCCATTTAGCAGTTTTGCCCTTGATTCGAACCTCTCGTGGCATCGAGGTTCACGACACTTTGACAAATAATTATTCACGAGAGAATAAAATAGACGAACTTATTGGGCATCTCGAGTCAAAAGTCGGTGACAGTTTTTCTTTTCATTGAAAAGTCGGCGTGTGCCTGGCCACCCACGAATGCGATAAAGTAAGTTGTGGATAAATGTTGACGTTGAATGTCTTCAACCAATAATTCCGAGAACATGGGAACATGAGAGGGAAGTAGATATGCTTGTAGTGAATTCCTCCTAATCAGATTGTCCAAATGTGTTCGTGGAATTGAATTCGGTCCCAAAATTTCTGGTCCACACTGAATCGGGAAGTCAACCCGACTGCTTGACAGCATGTACAAAATGTTTACTGTGAAACTCGCGTTGTCAGTGTCAAGGTTTTCCAAATGTTTAAAAGGACGACATGGGCGATGTCCTCCTGTTTTCCGCACGACTTTGTTACATAATTCTACCCGTGCTCATGATATGTATGTATGTACAAGTCAAGTGCTGTTCTCAGCAGTGTCCAGCGCGTGTTCCGATCTCTGTAATTTTCCCATCAAAAGTGCTTATCACTGACTCGGCCAATTATGCATGTGCACTCGGATATGTGGAATTCTAATGTCATTGTCACACATCACTCCATACAACGAGAATCACTTGAAATAATTACGCCTAGTGTTGCCAAAGAGTTGAGCTGAGTTGAGTTGAGCTGATTTAACAGGTAACGTTCCATTGCATGAGGGTTTTGAGTTTAAATTTTAGTGTCTTAACTTTTCCTTCTATGTATTCAAATGACGATTCAAATGACGATTCAAATGTGATATTTCGATAACAGGTGTGCCGAAATATGAAAATCTTTACCTGTTTTTTGGACTCGGTACTCGAAATGCCTCGGGCCTATCCGATGAGAAATGGACCTCGGCGCAGATAAGCTTTTATCATTCAGATGGCCAAGATATAGCGTTTCAGAGTATGCGAGTTATCCACATGTCATATTGTTAGGTTAGTTAGTGAGTTCAGCTCAACTTAACTCAACTCAGGAGGGGAGCTTGCGAGGTTGATAATAACAGATATTGGTGCCCTTTGGATATGTGGTAGGGACCCATGAGTGTACTAAAACCCTGAAGTAGTTTGACTCCATGGCCACATTTGCGCCCGCCACACCCACTCAAAAATGCCCAAAAAACGCTTTCACTCGAGTTTTCACTCACTCAAATCCACGTCAAAAATCCAATTTTACTCGGATTTTGAAATTTCTTTCACCATTATACTCCCAGATAGTTGCTTTCTTCAATCCAATATCAAACTCAATTTTATTGATGATTATTTCGCAAACATAATTTGTTTTGTTGATGACTACAACAATGCTCATTCAGAATTTTAAATTTTAAAAATACTAAAAATTTCGAAAAAATTGAGTTTGATATTGGATTGAAGAAAGCAACTATCTGGGAGTATAATGGTGAAAGAAATTTCAAAATCCGAGTAAAATTGGATTTTTGGCGTGGATTTGAGTGAGTGAAAACTGGGGTGAAAGCGTTTTTGGACATCTTTTAAGTGGGTGTGGCGGGCGCAAATGTGGCCATGGAGTCAAACTACTTCAGGGTTTTAGTACACTCATGGGTCCCTACCACATATCCAAAGGGCACCAATATCTGTTATTATCAACCTCGCAAGCTCCCCTCCTCAGGCAAGTGAGCTTAGCTGAGTTCGAAAATAAGCTTACCTCATCCTCAGCTAAATAGTGGCAAGACTAATTACGCCTCCTGCCACATGCTACACGCGTTCTTAAAAAATGCACATGCACATGTTTCACACCAAAAACTGGGTGAAAGCGTAAGAAATTAAGTGAAGTGAGGGATACATTCATAGCATTTATATATTTTTAATGCCAGCGGCTGTATGAAGCAATAGAGTAAATATAATACGTGTAGGTTTTGCAGTAGGTATTTTAGAGTGCACAAACACTCTTCTTATACCCACCCAAATTCTTGTCTACAATCTTTCTGCCCTATTTTATTTCACACCAGACAATTCTTCTTCTGCATTCAGTTGCAAAAATGGGAGGAAATCGAGTTTCGCCAATGAAGTGCTCCTCGTCAAATATGCACTGCCAATAATAAAGAAATACATACATATTTACTTATATGACGTGAGACACAAAGAAAGTTTTATGTCTGGCTGGAATTCGAGAGGAATAAAAAGGATGGATTTTTCGTGTTATCACTCTTCGATTATTATTTTCCTTTAGGATAAAGTCCCAATTTCCTTGTCTGCATAATCATTCACAGTATTTGGCATCGTCATCGTCGTTCTCGGAGCCACCACCACCACCACCGTCAACGCTGTTGCTTTCTTCTCCTGCTGCTTCTGTTCCTGTCGTGTTCGTTCTTCCGATGCATTTTGATTCTTGATGGCAGCAGGGTACCCGACCGATCTTAATTCATTCAATTTACGTCTTTCCGCCTTCTATTTCCGCTTTTCCGTAATATCTTTCTCACCTCAAAGTTAGTTAGACATGGCACTTTTCTCAGCCACAATGTTTATGCCTCCATGTTCTGCACTAACCAGCGTCAAAGTTGGGCATATATTTTTGAACATGTATCTGTATATACCATAGCTTAAGCAATACTCTTTTGTACACTTTAATTCTAGTATCGCATCCTCCACTACTTTTATCTCGTGCCTAAAGACCTTTTGTTGGGCCTCCTCACATCCCACAAGGTAAAGCGGATGCTCAACTTTTTCAACAAAGTCGTTAACCACAACGGTGCTGCGGTCAGGGAGAACATTTTCACGTAGGATGGTTTTTGCCACAGCAGACTTATCAAGGAGACCTTGAGGGCAATATTGGCAAAGCGGGATTAAATGTTCTCGTTCCGTTTTCTTCTTTGTTTGTCGGGCGGAAGAGCAAACATGCTTGAAATTAATTAAACCCCTCGTCTAAAGGGTAACATGTCTTGCAATCTCATTAGTCTAAAGCATGCGGGATCTTTTTTAGTCAAATTTCAACAACCGAGTAGACAGAGTATGTAGTTCGTATAGGTTTGTGATTTTAGGCACTTGGTAACATCGAAGAAGCCTCATATAGATACATAGCATCAAGATTGTTTCTTGCCTGCTGCGGTGTCACTAACTTCAAAAACTTGAACCCAGTTAAACTATCAGGAGGAAAAGGGAATAATCTTTTAATTGGATCAAACGATGTACTTGTCGTTCCTCAGCTAATTTGAACATTGTCAACGTCAAGTATCCTAAATATATTTCGCCCAAAGTAAGTAACTAAGTGCCTAGATCTCGTCTGCTATAGCTGAGTGAGCAGCTCTCTTGGTGGCTTCGTCCTTGTGTAATCCGAGTCAAACTGACATTCAGGGAAAGTAAAATATTGTGATATGGAAATTGCTCTAATGCGAAGGAAAGAACGACTCGATTTTACAATTGCATATCATATGCACTCCGGCTATAAGTACACCCGGTTATAAAGTGAATATATTTTTTTCCCTTTCCCTGGAAAATAAATGTTGTTCTGTTTTGAATGGAAAAAAGAAATGGAAAATGAACTACGCACGACTTTCCATCAATCAGCCACAGTCACACACGACCGTGTACATTTGTCGCATGAGTTGGGCCGGAGAAAGCATAATTTTTCCATTACAGTCGCATTGAAATACATCTTGTAAATTTATTTGGAGTTATATGACATATATTTTTAGTGACGTTATATAAA